AGTTTTGTTTTATTTTTCATTTACAACAAAACAAAGGGTAAAATAATAATCTATTAACATCGGTTAACCTATTTAACGTTAAATTAATGAAATGGGTTCCTCGAACGTTTTAAAAAGTTATGATGAATTCAAGAGAAATACTTAAAAGTTAATGGCCAATTATGGACAATTTAGGTAATTTTCACATATAAACGTTAGCATTTAGTACATGACAAAAAGAAGCCCTCCCCGAATATCCTACGTAGAATACCAGAAAAAAAGAATATCCTACGTATTTTCTTACGGTGTAATTATGATGGCTTGACGAAATGTCTAAAATTGTCAATTTTCCAAAGACATGCACGATATGTTGAGAAACGACCCGACCCATTCACAGGCCTCCCCAACCCAACGGGCCCAACTCCAACCCCAAGTGGTGCTAGGATTAGGGAAGTGGGAAGGGTATTTTAGTAATTAAGCAAATAAAATTGTTCAGAGATCAGACGGACGAGTTCACATCTGCCCCCACAGACGCGACTCAAAGACGCTCCACATACACATCTCAGCGTGCATTGAGAACATCTCTCGTGTTTATCGTTGGGAGATATTCTCAATACACGATTGAGGTATGCTGTGGAATGTTTTCGGGACGCATTTGTGGAGAGCAAATGTGAATTCCAGACAGTAGTAGTACACCTGTAAAAAATCAGTAAAGTCCAGTACACGACCGCAGTAGCCAGACCTGTAGGCAGCATCTCTGAGGAACAAATTTTCGCAGCAACCGGTACACGGCCAAATGTCTTCGTCGCTGTCAGAGACTCAGAGATGCTCATGCTCCAGCGGACTTAGCGGTCCCAGCTCTCCGTGTCTCCACTCCACCCAAACGGATCCCATTCCCACGTACATTGTAGTTGTAGACTTGTAGAGGACTTTCTTGGGAAGCCGTGGCCGTACTGGACATAAAGCATAATATGTCGTGACCTTTTTCTTTGCTAGATCTAGATGAACGCCTTAAAGACTATGTCCGGGCCGGCGTGAAATATGGGCATTGTAGTAAATATGTTCGAATACAGTATAAAAAACCGTGCATCTATATGATTTTTCACTTGAATTATTTTGTTCAATTTTAAAATTAAAATATAAAAAAGACATACTGATATGATATGGTACATTCTTTTTTATATACTAATTATTATAAAATAATGATTATTTTATAACTAATAATAATTACTTTTTTAAACTGTAACAATAGTTAATAATAATCTAATTAACAGTAATTATATTTATAAAATAATGGTTATTTTATAATTAACAGTAATTAATTAACAGTAATCTAATTAAAAATAATATAATTAACCATGATTATTTTTTCAAATAATGGTTATTTTATATTTAACAGTAATTACATTTTAACATTAATAATTTAAACAATGAATATCAGAAAATTACATTTAATTACCAAAAATTGTCATAAATTAGTTTTAGGTAAAAAAATAACAAAAATTAAAGTAGCAATATTTTTGAGATTGTCATAATTACAGTATTTTTAATAATTAACAGTATTTTAATAAATATAGTATTTATTAGTTAACAGTATTAATTAAACATATTTTCAATAAATACATTATTTTAATAATTACAGTATTTATTAATTAACAGTATTTTAGAAAACACCAATTTTTAATAAATACAGTATTGTTAACATTATTTTAGTAATACAGTATTTATTAATTAGCGGTATTAATTAACAGTATTTATCAATTAGTAGTAATAATTAACAGTATTTATTAATTAGAAGTATTACTTACATGTTTTATGCCATTTTAATAATTAAAAGTACTTTAATAATACAGTTTTTAGTAAAAACAGTATTAAAAATGATTACAGTATTTTTAATAATGTATTTATTAATTAACAGTATTTTCAATAACATTATTAATTAACAATATTTTTTAAAATTACAGTATTTTAATAAATACTGTTAATTGCCATTATAGTTTATTTCCATAAACTATACAATTGGCTTTGTTTTGAGCATTTTTATTATAGTTTATTTTAATTTTTTTTGTTAAATTGATTGGACCATTATTTTAATTCTTTTAATTTATTTGTAAGTCTTAATTATTTCATTTTTTATTAACAAAACCCGTACATCACACGGATCCCCGTTAATTAATAAATAAAACAGAAAAACATAATGATAAACATGAACTAGTAGTTTTGTATCCACACGTGGCCACTGGCACTCGCCACCAAAATTACCTGCTGGACCTATTGTCGGGTACGGAGCGGGGGACCCGTGAAAGTTTCCAAGCAATTAGTATTTGGGGCTGTTCCTACTCTGCATAGATCTTCTCTCCATAACGCACCAGCCACCAGCCCTGCTTGTTTGTTAAGTTCACCATTTGATCTGAAATAAGGAAGTGTTGAATGGTGAATATTCATCAGGTGAACGATGGTACTGAATATATATGCGTGGATGCATTCTTTTCTGGATGGATGACCACTGTTTCATCCATCTGATGGAGTTATTTTGCCCATCTGATGTACGATTCGTTAGGCTTGCCTTGTGTATGTTGAATGTTTTAATCCATATTAATTATTCTCACGTATCTTATTTATTGGGCTTCTCTTCTTGAAACTTATCATTTTAAGATGAACTTTTGTAACTTTTTGTACTAAATGAGAATTTGTAGAATTCGTTAAACACTTAAACAAGGATCAAAGATTCAATACCGAGCGTATTGAAAACAAATGTCTTGTCTAGTATTGAAACACCTCATAGACTAGGGATGTCAATGGGTTGGGTTAAACGATAAATCCAGGTTGACCTGTTCCTATAGGGTCAGTTAGGACTTTGATTCTTTGACACACAAGTTGGGCAATTTTATAATTTGTTAACTTCTAATTCCATAATTTCAAATTTTAGGATTTCTTTTCATGTCTATTTTGATTTTTCTTCTTTCATTAATGATCGATAGAGAATAAAATGACATCTTAATTAGAACCTATAAATCAATTCTCAACTTAAATTTAATGACTCTTAGGTCTTCAAAATGTGTTATAAAAAGTACAATGGAAAGGATGCAGCTCAAGTCGAGTACGTATCCGGTTGAACCCTATAGGGTTGGGTCGGGTTTGAGAATTACATATCAGTAAGTCAGGTTAGGTCCAGGTTGGGATGATAGATTGTTTGGTTAAAGTTGAGGCAAATCCATACCAAATCAGACCTGTTGACATGTCTAAATAACTAGATGTGCATGATCATGCATATTGGGTGTATTGATACTTTTGACCTCGACTTAAATACCCAATAAAAGGAGCTGGCATGCTAAAAAGGGTTCAACTATGAAGGAGAAATTACTAACCAATCAACCAATATCATAAAAGTGATAACAAATCAGGTGGTTTTTATATATTACTTGGTCATGTGTTAAAGTTTTTAGTTTAATTTATTGTGAATTTTGGTTTCAATCATATATCTTATTAACGATAAATATTAACAATTTTCTCATATATTTTACCATTTACTAAAGAATAAATATCATCGCATTACTATTTCGTTTTATTTGGTAAAGTTCTTTTGCAATTAAATTTCTATTAGCAAGAAATATTGAATGAACATTGGATGAATGGTAAAAGAAAGTACTATTTCATTTAATTATCCCAATTAAATGTTCAAGCCAAATATATCTGAAGGCTGAGTTGGTTTGCACATAAAATGAAGGAAAACAAATCAATTTCTTTAGAAATGAATGAATCATTATTCAGGTTGAAAATTAAATTTGAATTGAGAGAACGACCCTAATTCTGTCCAGAAAGTGACATTAGGAAAATTAGAATGAGTGTAATTTTGTCATAACTACTATTTACTTTTTAAAAAACATTTTCCAGAATTATATCTTTTAGGTGCAATCAAACATCATAAAATAGAATTTTTTTTTTTTTTTTTTTTGTTGAAAATGTTTAACTTCATTTTATATTCAACCAAACGGAGTATTCTTAATTTGGTGCATTCATTAGAAGCTAGTTTTGAATTTTAATTAAGTAGTCATAAATGCATTCAAGGCTAATTTAATCAAATAATCAACCGCCATATATATACTTTGAATGTGCAACAAAATTTTATAAAAGATCTATAGCTTCGATTCGACTCATTCCTTTTTCTTGAGGCTATGGATCGACCATTGAATGGATCGTACTTAGATTAGTTGGCTTAAAAATCAGCTTGAAACATGAGGGCAGTCGCACATTTTCACCGTCTACATTGGAGCATTGGTGGGACCCATTGGATAACAGTCCTGATCCTCTGGTTATGTGACAAGTGGCAAAAAGGCCCTATATAATAAACAAATAGATACCTGAAGTTTAAAAAATCCATAAAATCTATGTATCCTAGTAGGATATCATATATAGAACTGTAGAGACATAAGCACCAAGATCTAATTGGCTAGAACTGAACATAAATAGAATAGTTACAGATGTGAAATTATTATTTCTCTACTTTTCATTTCATGTAAAACATTTATTTACATAAGCTGTTTTTTAACCTTTTTTTTTTTTTTTTACTTAAAATGAATGTGAAAGCTTTAGGACTAAGGCCTTGTTTGTTTGCAATGTATTTTCATTTCAATTACCGTAAAAGTATGGGAATGCAAATTAGTTAAGTCCAGATTTTAGTTTTATTTCTTATAGGTTTTAGTGTTCTACTTTGTTTTGTTTATTTGCAGTGCAGGCGAGGTAAAATGAAACACGAACCAGAATAAAGTAAAACCCATAAAAAAAAATAATAAAATTTGCAACTTTCTTAGCATTTGTACTAGTGTAAATGAAATTGTACTACAAAACAAACAAAGCCTAAAGTATTTCAGCTTTTCTTTCCACCCTTTCTGTAGCAATAGGCTTTATTTTAAGTCGAAAGTTTTCATCATACAAAGAGTGAAGATATATGTAGCTCAAATATTTCAGACAAAAATTTCCTCTCCATTTTAAGTTGAAACAAGCCTAGGGAGAGAGAGAGAGAGAGTAAATTAACATGCATATATTCCATGGATTACACCTTGTGATCTGTAGGGCAAAAGATCAGTTCACCGTTATTATAAAATCATATATAACCATTACAAAAATATTGGCTTATTCAGTTCATGCATCCACAATCATGTTAATGGAAAATCAGTTCTTGCACAATATTGACATGAACAAGGAAATTTAACAGTGCTCCATGATTTAGTGAAGAATAGAGAATGAAAAAGAAAAAGGCTCTAATTTCATCAGGAAGCTACATCTACAAATAAGACATGTCGTCGAATTTGGGTTTGGGCCAAAAATACCATGAGATCATCAAGCACAATTGGGTGGTACTTTGGGAACTCCTTGACGTTGTAGTTCCACCAACACACTCTCAAGAGATGGAGGCTTTAGCCCAAGAGGAAGCGGCTGCCATGGTTTTGATAGAACATCTCCAATAGCTGCATCTATGCTCTCCTTTGACTGTAGTTACCATCACAAAGACAAATTGTTTAGATGCTACATTTTCATGGAAACCCTTAATACATGCATGCATGCTTCTCTCTCTCTCTCTCTCCCCAAAACCATCCAAACCAATTTATTTCACAGAAGCGACCTAACAAGAATGTTAAAAGGTAGTAACAGAACTACCCTTCAAACCCTGAATAAAACGAGAAACTGGCTCTGGATTATTCAGTTCTCTTTTCTGCAACTACTTGATCAAATTAAGAGGGGATCGATCAATATTGTTCTTACCGGATGAAAGTGATCAAATGGAGGATAGGACTCTGATTGGCCACTGGGGACGAAGCCAATGCCTCCCTGGGGAGGGATGCTTCGGACAGGTGGAGTTGGGAACCTCTGCATTCATTTTCATTCACTAAATAAGCTTATGAATTTACATACCCATGATAGATTATTCGATCTGACAAAATTAAAAAAACAGACTACTGTACAAACTACAGTCGTAGTCCAAAACTCAGTTACTCTAATAAAGCAAGGGCGGAGCGACCGAGCGAGTAGTTACCGTTGTAGGTAGTGGATGTGGGAAGCAAGGAGTCCCTGGTGCAAGAGCAGTTGGAACCTAGAGGAAATCAAAAGAAAAAGAAAAGATCAGTAATCGACAAAAAGGAAACCAAGAGAAGAGAAGAGAAGAGAGATCTAGAGAGAGAGAGAGAGAGAGTACCCTTTGGTGGTTGGGGTGCCAATAAGGATCCGGCGGTGGAGGAAGAGGTGGTTGCATCCAAGGAGGCGGTGGCGGAGAGGCTGAATGAACGAGATGTTTGGGCCACATGTGCATTAAGGACTGATCAACGGTTGGATGTCCCCAGACATGCAAAGGCCGGAAAGGCTGTATGGGAGTAGGAGGAGGAAAGCCAATGGTGGGTGCAAGCCAAGAGTTCAGCTCTCTCTTTGCTCCACCTCCGGCACCACCATATATTTGCCGTCTTTGGTTCCAGCTTGCCGCCTCCGCCTCCCGTGCTAGCAAGTGTTTCCGATGTGACCGATATTTCTGCAAAATCCCACAATTCTATCCCTTAATATATTTCTCATTAACTTCACAAACCACTCCACAGTTCTTAATTAGTTTCGGCTTCATATCATAAAGCTCAAGTAGATAGAGATTGTACCCAAAAAAAAAAGAGAAAAGATAAAAATATTCAAGAAGAGATTCCAGATTTAGAATCTCTTTACATAGTAAAAATACTATACTCCTCACGCGTGGCTTCAGTCATATACTAAGTTTCAAGATTCACCTTTCTTCTCACACCCTCCCAAGAAAAAAATAATAAAAAGAAAAAGAAAAAACAGAATGATACAATCTCACAAAATCCAAATCACCTCTATTTTCAAATAAGAAAAGAAAAGAAGGGAAGTAGTTTCATTGTTTCAAGAACTCTGGGAGATATGTACTTGAAGGTGACTAGCAATGTTGTGGCGAGTGAGACAATCGATTCCCATAAGCTCTAAAATCCTGGAAGGGACTGCCTTATCCACTCCTAGCTGCTCCACTGCTTGAACGAATCGCCTGTGCAGCTCTGGAGTCCAATCTACCTACACCCAATTCAACAAAACAAACTCAGAAAACAATACTAATAATAATCACGATGGTAGTAATAAAAATCAGAAAAGGAATCTCAATCCTCTCTTCTCCACTCTTCTCTGCTCTGCGACTAAAAGCTAGCATGCCCCGGAGGGCTGTGCTGCCCAAACTCTAGGAGCCATTCCACTCTTTGAGATGACTCAGATCTACCCATGACTTCCATTATCTCTTTCCATCCCATGAACCATGTGACGGACAGTTCATAAATGTTTCACAGAGAGAGAGAGAGAGAGAGAGAGAAAGAGAGAGAGAGAGAGAGATTGTCTTCCTAAATGAAACTGTAAATCTGTATACATGAACTTTAAGTCCTTGATAGTAACGGTTACACCTAATCGCTGGTTCATGTGAAGCAACAACAGCCTACCACCTTATTGACACAGGCCCATTACTATACCTTCACTTTGCGCTTCCCTTGGGAGCCTTTAGCTTGCGTCGGTGGTTTATGGCCTTTATCAGCTTCTCTTGGCGATGGATTCACAGCAACCGGTTCCTCTCTCTTTCTTACAATTTCTTGATTTTGTTCTGTTCGACTTGAACTCGAGACCAAACCCGAAGCCGAACTCTTGTCTCTTGCTTCTTCACTTCTACTATTCTGTTCCTCGACTTTCCCAACTGATACTGATGCATTCATCTCCGATGATTCCTCACCCCCACTGCCACTGACCGAAAACTCGGCCAGCAATTCTGGGTCCATCTCCAAATCAGGCAACAAGTCTCCATCCTCGATGCCGACGAAAAGATCATCGAAATCTATACCTTCAAGCAAATCCACACCAGAAAAGGCGTCCGAGAAGTCATCGATCCCGACCGGAAAACTCTCCATCTCTCCTTGTCTCTCATCGTTGGAGCTTCTCAAAGGTGACACGGCAAGCATTCCAGATTTGCAATTAATATGGGAAATAAAACGTACCCACTAAACACCACCCACTGTATCACACTAACATATATATATATACATATATGGGATGCGGTGCAGCTATATAATATATTTCGTGGAGTCTGGAGGTGCAACTAAATTAAGCTTGATGGAAAACTAGAAGACTAGTCGGCTTTCCGATGGGTCATTACTGGGAAGCCTGAAGAGGAAATGAGAGAGAATTCCTAGCTTTTGCCTTTATGCTTCGGTCTGGTTTGGCTGTCGCTGTGTAGGAGTTTTTGGGAGGTGGGATCTCAGCCACAACTTGAATTGATTTCTCAGATTTGTTTTTATGTTTTTGTTTGGGTGTGCCTTCCTTTTTTAATATATTTTAGGTTTGTGGACGGCTTTTTTTTTGAAGATTCAGAAAATCTGAGAGGGGCTCGTGAGCTTTTATAATATATATATATATATATATATTGCAGAGAGTTTTTGGTATTCGGATTTCGGAGGGAGGGGAGAAGGGTGGGAAGGAGAGGGGAGAAGCTCCAGATTGTTGTCAGATTGCAGGGCTGTATTCATGAGCTGCTACTTCTATTTATTCTACAATCCTATTTTGTTTTATTAAATGACCTTGTCATTTCCATTAATGTCAGATGCATCCTTGCTTCTACTCTTTTTACCCATTTGCGTACTTTGCAGGGCCCTGCCCTGAGTAACGGTTTTTTACTATAGAAGATTTGCCCTTGAGGAATGGTGGTAAGCAACGATTTATGTAACTCTTTGGTAGTTTGGTAAGTGGTAACCCACCGTGTCTGTATGGGCGAGGAGTCCAAGAGTTGCATATACTCGTTGTCCTAGGCTCTTTCAGAAAACGAAAGCCCAGCACCTGTATCCAGCAGAGTCGAATACCAAAAGCAGTTTCCTTGCAATATAAACGTTGATGGTTACAAGTCAGCGCAACATTCTTCTTTTCAAATTGTCAATGGTGGATTGATGAGTTACCTTTGTGCTTGAGATTTACATTTATCTCAATTTGGATGTACAACTTTGGCCTGGGTGGTTCGAGTTGAGGTCAACCCCAAACCGACCCTGCCTAACCCAACCCAACGATGAAACTGAATTAACGCTAAACTGAGCTCGCACACTACAAAGCATCGCACCCACTGGTAATGCGAGTGCCACCAGCTCTCACCCAACAGCAAAAAACAAGCGACTTAAAAAAGACCTGAAATACATACTATCGGGGAGGGGGATCAGCCGGCTTCACATCGTGGCAGTCCCTTAAACGCTTGGACTTTCTGCTCCCAACAGGAACTGCCGAAGGATCGTAAGAGTGATCAACCGGGTAGGAAACCCCGGAAAAACTTTAGCTGTTGGGGGGTCAACAGTATGCTGTTGAGAGAATTTCTGTAAATGTTACATTACCACAAGAATGAATAAATTAATTTATTTTAACTAAATAGACGAACTGCCTAAAACGTGCTGGAGCCTATGCTGTTGGGCCCCAACAGCCAAAATTAACCCCGAAACCCCAAGCAAATTTCCAAATCGAATTGCTTTGTCCACCTGATCATCTGAACTTTCCTTTCCTCTTCAGGCCTCTCGACAGGAAGCTCACCCGCCAAAACTAAATCCTGACTGGGCTCGCCTTGGCTTGTTGCCAAGCTTGGTTTCTTGATAGGAAGCTCAATGCTCGGGTTGTTGAGGAGGAGCAGGTGATACGTGACTCTTCCCTTGGCAAGACGAAGTACCTTTGATTTGGTCAAACACTCAAACCTCTACCAAATAGTTATTAAGGAAATTGAGGCCTATTTGATTTTACTTTTAAAAAATACTTCTTTCAACAAGTACTTCTTTTAAGATATGGGATCACACATTAAAAGTGGATTTTAAGTACTTCTACATGCTTGGTGAAAAATTAGGGAAACAAGAAGTACTTAAAAAAATGACCTGGATGTGGCTTCTTTTTTTCAACACTTTTTGAAGAAGTGTTTCTTCATCCAAATGGGATGAACTTGTCCCTGCTTTCGTAATGGCAAAATTACCCTTACATGAGGTTATCATCCTCCTCCATTTGACGATGAGCAAAAAACGGTTGTTGTACCTGTCGTTTGCTCTTATCTTTGTTTCTCTATAATATTCCATCATTTTGAGGCTATTTTTTGCATTTTTCTAAAGTTTAAACTCTCTTTTTTTCTCTGGTTGCAAATCTGTATTTGGGCGACTTCAATGGTGATATCCCATCGTCCAACTACCAATGACTAGAAGGTGAATTTGCCTAAACTCCTCCCCTCCATATTTGTTTTTTTTTTTTTAGATTGTTTGGATGATTATTTCTCTGATTCGATTTTTTGTATTCATATGAGAAATCCAAAACTCTTTTGGGCATTTATTATTATTCATGTGGCACTTCATGTGTGGGCCTATATGAGTTCTCATGTGTCATGGTATAGTGATGTGGCGATTTTTTATTGAAATGTATATTATAATGATATGGAAAACATTATTTATAAGTATGTTTGGAGTGAAAATTACAAGTATCATTTAAACCAATATAAGCACCTGTGGGGAAAGAAGGTCACTAAACATCACCACCCCAATAAGTGCTTAAAAAACACAATAAATGATTGGCAAATGGATCAGCAAATAACCTTCAAGCCCTATTAAAAGAAATTCTTCTAAAAAGTACTTATACAACAAATACTTCTTTTTCTAAACCTCTTATTCACTAAACATAGCCTAAGCCACCGTTGAGATCCATGGCACTACACTTCATAACAATGAAAGTAATTGGATTTACATGCAACAGACGATCCAAACCCGAAACGAGCAAGCTCCGAGCCTAAAGATTCCAATGACTCCTAGCGGAAAAATAGGTTTGAAATTCGAAGTTCCCGCTCATTTGATCGATCTGCGAACAGGGGCTTCTGTTGTACTCGAGAGCCCTGAGACGGAGGCTCCCGTCGGTACTCTGTGTGCCACCATTCCCACCACCATTGGAAGACCATCCCGAAACCCTTCCTCTAGAGAGAGCTGGGACTTTGAGAGACAAACTGCCTCTCCTTCATCCACCTGTACAGGTGGCTGCTCTGGCTTTTTCTTCTTCCTCCATCTTCTTCGACGTTTCACTGAAATCCAAGTAGAAGGTTGTCTAAGCCCAGAGAGACCAACACCACCACAACCAGGAATAGCCCCCGCTACTCTTCCTTTTACTAAGGAAGATGATGGATTGAAACCAGGTGGTGGGTGTGGACACGAAACAGGGGTCCCCGTGTTCATGTCCCAACCATTGTACAGATGAAACCTCCAATTGCATTTCTCTCTCCTCGAACACTACGGGACACCAGGTTGAAAGTGGGACGCCAAAAATCTTGATCCACCACTTATCATAACCAGACCTATGTCTTTCCGAACAACCGAACTAGGACCAACGGGACAGTGAACAGAAAATGCCGTTGAGGATGGACAGGCGAGAGTGAAGTGCTCCACACGCTTCTTCCTTTGATGCAAATACTAGAAGCCACTTATTCCCTTCTAGTCTTCTTATCATTGGTTTCTGCAGATTTCGCCAATGAAGGAACGCCCAACTTTCGACCTCTTCATAGGAAGGATTGCCACCTGTAAATCAAAGAACCAGGCACCTTCGGAGGAAGACTTCACGATCACGAATCCCTTCCTCATCAACAAAGACTCTGATAGTTCCTCCCTGCACCTGAACAATAGCTAGACCTTCCCTCCAAACGTAGAACTCCATCGAATTGAAATAAAAATGGAGCTCGTGTCATGGACCAATGGAGCCAAGAGTGTTTCCGAGATCCTTCTCGAATCGCAGAACGTAAATCAAACTTCAATATGTTTAATTCCAAAATCAGATAGTGTTGAGGAAGCAAATGATTTCAGACCCATTGGACTCTGTAACTTATAAAATAATTGCCAAAATCATCACTCTCAGACTCAAAAAGATTCTCCCTCGGATCATATCTCTTTTTCAAAGTGCTTTCACTCCTAGGAGGAAAATAATTGATAATACCATAATAATACATGAGGTTGTCCATACAATGAAGAAACAGAAGGGCAAAACAGGGTACTTCATGCTAAAGGTGGACCTCTCTAAGGCCTGTGATAGGATTGAATGGTCCTTCCTCTTGAAAGTTTTGCAGTCATTGGGTTTTCGGGATAGTTTTCGCTCTCTTATCTCAGCTTGCATCTCCACTCCTAGCTTGGAAGTGCTGGTCAATGGCACTTCTGGGCAAACATTCAGGCCATCGAGAGGACTCCGTTAAGGTTGTCCATTGCCTCCATATTTATTTATAATGTGCATTGAGGCTCTATCCTCTCTCCTTCGTGATAACTTAGAGCATCGTACTCTTCATGGAATTAAATTCGGAAGATCGAGCATCAAGATCAACCATCTTTGTTTCGTGGATGATTTGCTTCTGTTTGGTAAGACCTCTTGGACTGAAATACATCGTCTTAAGGAGATTCTTGATATTTTCTGCAGATGGTCAGGACAAATGATAAATTTCCATAAATCAACTATCTATTTTAGTAACAATACCCACAGAAGACTACGATTGAGAGTGGCTTCATTCCTAGGGGTGAGACAGATGAACAAAAATGAGCGCTATTTAGGCGGGCCGCTATTTTTCAACAGTTCTAAGTTCAAAGATTGGAACCTTATTATGGAGAAAATCCAAAAGAAATTGAGTGGGTGGAAAAGTTAAACTATTTCCCAAGCTGGTCATATGATGCATATAAAATCAACCATAGAAGTTGTTCCAAATTATCATATGCAAACTCTCTTATTACCAAAAGCTACATGCTCATCAATCAATAATCTTTGCAAAGACTTTTGGTGGGGGCTCAACTGAAGGAAAAAACAAAGTTCACTTAAAGGAGTGGAAATGGTTGTTGAAACCCAAGGATATTGGTCTTCATGATACTGAAATGAGGAACAAGGCATTAGTATTGAAATTATGTTGGAGGTTCCTAAAGGAAAACAATGCACTTTGGGTAAAAATTCTCAATGCCAAATATTTAGAAAATCAAAATTTTTGGCTAGCAAAATCAAAAGCCAGCACCTCTACCACTTGGAAGAGCTTAATGACTTGCAAACAATTCTTACATCAAGGCATTAGGTTAATAGGGTCAGGATGGGTTGTAAATGTTTTTGTGGATAACTGGATTCCAGGCATCCAAGCTGATTGGACCAAAGTAAGTGAAGATCTCTCCAAGATCAAAGTAGCTGAATTCATCAATCACGAGAGGGGAACATGGGATCACAACAAATTGGCCCATTACTT